TTAGAGAAAAGAAACAATGAGGCTGCTGTGCGTCTCCATCCGAGCACCAAGCACATCTGGCCCCAACTTTCTGCATGTCTTTCTTCCATCGCTTGTCCTTTCTGCATCTCCAGTTGCCCCCAGTTAGGTCAGTAGGACCAGGAGTGCAAGAAAGCTCGCTCCAGCTTTCTACCACTCCAGTCATTCCCCCGGTTCCTTTTGCTTTAGTTATTTTTTCCAATAGGGTTTTTTGTTTTTGTGTGGGCTGGCCTGGACCTTAATCCTCCTATTTATGACTCCCATATAACTGGGATTATGGGAGTGAGCCACTATGTCCAGCTTCTTTTGCTAATTTTAAAAACCTGTTCCAACTGAGTGAAGATGAAGCACACCTGCTTTTACAATCAGGTGTACCCAAGTGAGGGTTAAACACTTCGAATGCAGGGCTTTAAGCACCCATGCCTTTTCTTAGCAGTTTGCAAGTCATGCCTAATATCAATTTAGGTCCTTTTGCCTTTCAAAAAAAGCCAAAATTAGAATGTTAAAAAAAAACAAAACACAAGATTTTGAAAGTATAAGACCTAAGGAAAAAGCCTATTAAGCTGTATGAGAGTAACAACTTAGAGTAAGTGTGAATTCTGTTTCTCATTCATGATAGAGAATTGGAAGTCACCTCAAATTATTTGTTCTTTATAAGAGCTTCTTAGGGAAAGCTGGAAACAGTGCCCACAGCTTCTTGGAGCGCAGTGTTTCAACATTGGATGTCCTTAGTTGTTGCATCATGTGTGACTGAAGTACCTTAGATTTGAATTGAAGCTCACTTCCTTGCTTGGTCTCCTACTCCCAAGTAAAACAGTTGGCTAGTATTCCCTTGTAAGATAAACAAGCAAGCCTTTCTTTCAAAAGGAAATAATTTCAAATGTCTTTTGCTCTGGTCCCTAGGACTTGCTCAATAATTTTCTTGTTGGTAATGAATGTTACCATAGATTGCTTCTATTGTTCTCTGAAGGTATACTAATAGGAGAGAGAGAGAGAGAGAGAGAGAGAGAGAGAGAGAGAGATTACCCAGTTTGGTGAACAAATAAAGAAAATAGCTCATGAGTTTTTATTTTTGTGCAACCAAGAAGATCCACTGCTTTGTTCCCTCGCCCTCTTTCCTCTTGAGAACACCAAGAGCTCTCTTCTTTCAGGCATGGTCATTGTTGCCCCTTTTTGCTGGCATCCATCTTATGCCTCTGAGTCTTGCCATGTCCTACGCTAGAATTAGCCACCAAACTTCTAACTTCAAAATCCTTTAGAAATTTCATTTATTCTGGAAACTATAACCAATTAGAATCATTCTGCTAATTTCCTTCTTTATGCATTTCCACTGAACATGTTTCGTACACAATCCCATCATTACCCTTTCTTTTGTATCTCCTGCAAAATAATTTGCGTATTTTAAAATATGGACTCTGAATAAAATTCAGTGTTATGTTCAGTTACTCTTTCATTTAACCACATTAAGAAATGTATCCAACAGTTTCACTCAGTGATAATAAAAGATTCTATACAAGGTTGTTTACTGTAGTGGTGCTTATAATATAAAAGAGCTTGAAACAATTGTAGTGACTGAGGAGCAGTGTATTAAATAAGTTTGAGGGTATTCGTATGCTTGGGCATCACTGGCATTCAACAAATGTTTGTTGAGTGAATGGAGGGGTGTATTCTACAATGGAGAAAGTGAAAAGTATAAAATAGTACATTCTTTATGGAGTAAAAAGGTGGACATATGCACACAGTGTTCATTTACATACCCTGAAGCATATAACAAATGATATACAGTAAGCTGCTAATATTGGTTAACAACAGGTCATGGAAATAGTAGCGAGTGGAAAGTGTGATTTTTACTTTTCAACTTAAAATGGGAAAGCAAAACTTCAAATGGAGAAGGCCCAGAAAAATTAAATGATTGAAAAAAAGTATGTGCTTTTACAGAATGAACAGTTTCCTACTTCTAGGCAGGCACTTTACCACTTGAGCTACCCCCATCCCTTTCCTACTTCTTTATATAGTACCTCCACTCCAGTTTTCTCACTGTCCCCTATTTTTTTCTTCTGTGCTTTGCCTTCTGTTCAGAAATGCCTTTTCTGTCTTGCACAAATAAATCTTTCTGAACTGGGCCTTCATGAAACTTCACTGGGCTATTCAGTTTCACAGAAATCTCTCCTTAGATACATGCTTATCACGTACCATATCATACAATTTCATACTTACTTATTATGTAATTAATTTCATATAATTTTTTTTTCTCCTACTGTATTTGAGTAGTGATCTAGTAAATATTCATTGCCTCTATTGTGTTTGCTTTATACAGCATTTAACATTACTAGTAAGTATGTAAGGAATGGTTTCCATAATAATAATTAAAATTTAATCGAGGGAAAAAAACATTTAGTTCAGAAATAGTGGTTTCGTCTTCATTGACTATCACATTTGAACCATCTGAAATAATTAGGGACTTTTCTGAACTGATACTCAAATCAATATTCAGTTTAAAATAGAATCATGTTTTGGATATTTAAAAAATACCACAGGTCATACCTTAAATTTTTATAAAAGCTACAGACATGGAATCAGAATTGACTTTATTTTTGAGCTGACATCTAATCCAAAGAGAAATTCTTTTTTTTTTTTTTTTTTTTGTGGTACTGGAGCTTGAACTCAGGGCCTTTGCCTTTGCCCACTCCACCAGCCCTATTTTCTGTGTGTGTATGAAGGGTTTTTTCTTTTTTTTTTTTTTTTTTTGACAAAAAATGTATATTTTAATACATATATGTAAATATATAATTATGTATTTTGGTAGGACTAGGGTTTCACTCAGGGCTTTGCACTTGCAGAATAGGTGCTGTATGGCTTGAGTCACACCTCTAGTTCATTTTGCTCTGGTTATTTTGTTTTGTTTTGTTTTTTCCATTTTTCTTTTATTATTCATATGTGCATACAAGGCTTGGTTCATTTCTCCCCCCTGCCCCCACCCCCTCCCTTACCACCCACTCCACCCCCTCCCGCTCCCCCCCTCAATACCCAGCAGAAACTATTTTGCCTGAAGGGTTTTTTCAAGATAGGGTCTTGCCAACTATTTCCCTGGTCTGGCTTCGAACCGTGATTTTCCTAATCTCTGCCTCCTGGATAGCTAGGATGACAGGTGTGAGCCACCAGCACCCAAAAAGAAATTCATTATTTGTTAGATATTGTAGATTTAGTATTAGGATAATATAATTATTATATATATTTGAATCTTTTTTATTAGACACATACATATTTAGGATTGTTACATCTTGGTGAATTGGCTTTCATCATTATTAAATCTTCCTGTTTATCTTTAGCAATGATTTTTTTTAATGGAACCGGGGATTGGACTCAGGGCTTCATATATGCAAAGCAAATGTTCTACTACTTGAGCCACTCCTCCAATCTGTTTTCCATTTTGCTCTGTGTATTTTGGAGATGGGATCTTATGACCTGTTTGCCCAGGTTGGCCTTGAACTGCAATCCTGCCAATGTCAGCCTCCCAATTACCTCGGATTATGGGTGTAAGCAGATCTAGTAATGAATTTTTTTTTTTTTTTGGTTGTTTGAGGGTAGGTTTTGCTATATAGCCAAAGCTAGCCTCCAGCTTGCAGCCCTTCTACCTCAGCCTCCTCCCAAGTGCTAAGATTATAAGTGCTGGCAAAGTGTTTACCAGCATGGCAAACTCTAGTAACTATACTCTAGATTAGAATGGCCTTGTTCCCAAAACATGGCCTTTGTGAGAATTTACCTGAATGCCCCATTGAAGGAGACTTATCCACTGGCTGCTTGGAACACTAAGCAGCCAGTCTTCAGTCTATTGTGACCTCCAAAATCTCTGTTCAGTGTTTAGCACCAGGGCAACTGAAACTTGGAGATGTGAGGGCGATCTGGGTGCAACATCTGTCACCCCATTGACTGCCAGGGTTGATTTAGCTAATCTGACTGACTAAGGAGGTGTCCCCTTCCTCTCTCACCACCCACATGCACATCCCTCCCAAAGCTGCACACTCAGTCAGAAAGGACCACCTTGCCCAATAGAGGAGGACTGTTCTTCAATCAAGGGTCTACAAATAACTACACTCCCCTGCTAGAACCTTCAAATAAGCTCTCAAGAAGACACTTACATTTCTGGACCTACTTTCTTGCACTTCTCCCTTCTCTAGGATTCTGCTAGCAAGTTCTAGGTGCCACAGAAGCTGCCAAATCATCTTATCAGCTTAGTACAATGTCCTGTTTAGGGCCCAATTTTTTGGACCATAGTCTGGAATATTCTTCTAGGGAGAAACTCACTGTCATGGGACTTGTATATTTCTCTTTTACAGATCCTAATTCTGCGCTTCATATGTTGTGGAACATCCAAAAACAGTTGTTTAATTTTTTTTCTAAGTTTATTGGATTACAACAGCAGAGTTAGTCCAGTACCAGTTAATCCATCATGGCCAGAAATAGAAATCTAATAAAACATATATTTAAAATCATTCTTGTTGAGAAATAAGGGCATAAAAGTATAACACAGAGTCACCTCTATACACTAGAGAAATCATCTAATCCAACACACTTGTTTGAAAGATAAGAAAATTAATATACACAAGTGACTAAACAGTAGGTAACACTGTGAATTAGTCAGAAAGTTAGTCCAGTCTTTGTCTCAGGTTTTCTTAATCTCTTCCCACTATTTTCTCCACTATGCTTAGTCTTTTGAAAATTCATACTGAGTTTGAAACAAATTTTTTAATTTGTCAAACTTTTTTTTTAGAATCCTTATAATTTAAGCACTCTCTTTATTCCATTTTTGTTATGTAAATAGTGTTATTAATTCTGTAACAAGGGCATGAAAACAATTATTTACAAGTAGATTTCAGAATAATTGACATGCTATTGACTATATAATTCCATATTAGACCTAGAAAAGGAGGCACTTAGTTCTCTTAATATAATTGGGTTTTTCATTTTTTTTTTCTTTCTAGTTTGTTTTCTTTGTTATCTAAAAAACACAACAAAGTTCTGGAACAAGCCACCCAGTCCTTGAGAAGTTCGCTGAGTTCCAGTGATGTTCCTCTACCAGATTATGTAAGTAGTAGTTACCTTATCTCACCAGTAAAAAGCTTAATATTTATTGTTAAATTTATAGCAGTACCTCTCTTTTCTCAAAATTTAACTGTGCTCTTAGAAACCTCTAATATGCAAGTAAAGGAATGAGGTCTCAAATGCAAGGGAAAATCTTTAAATGATTATTATCAAGTTGTTGGAGAAAACTCTACACTGATAATTGTTAGTAATAACTGAGTCAAGAAAGAAACTCACTCAAACTAATTACACAAAAACAAAAGGAGGGATTTTATAGGAAACATATATAAAAGTTTCTCCCTGAACTTGGTGGGGAGAGGTGGAGTACACCTGGATTTCACAGAAAATTAGAACCTGAAATTAAAAAGCCATGGAGTTCAAGAATATCCTGCTACTGAGAGGCATTTAGTTTTTTATCTCTGTTCCATTTTGCTTCTGTTTTATTCTTCTGTTGCTTTCTACTGGCCACATTTCTCTTTTTGCTCATTTGGACATAAGATAGCAACACTAACAGTTCCCTTTTTCCCACCAACCTGTAACAAGTCCTTATGAGTGTAATGGCTTGACTAACTGATGGGAGTCTTAAAGTTCCCAATTTCCAGTTCCCTGGGAAAGAGAATCTCATTGGCTCTTTTCTCATCAATAAGAGACGCTAGACTTACCAACCATGGTTAGAAGAGAACAGAGGTAACATGTTGCCTTTATTCCATCCACCTTAAAGAGAAAGAGATTATTACCATCTGACATGGAAGGACGCTGATAGAATATGACAAGGCAGCGGCACAGGGGTGAGCTTATACAATAATAGGAAGGAGAATGCATCATGATTCCTTTAAAGGCAGTGCCATTACTTGACATTTCTTAGATTTTAGAAAATGGTTAGATGAAGATGCTAAGAACTATCTTCCATTTTAAAAAAGTTCATGAAGTTCTGATAAGGACCTTCCTAAGTCAACAGGCAACTTAGTGGATTGACATTTACAAACATTATTAGAAAGACTGTAAATTCTGTGCTTGAAGTGGCAATGTAAACCAGATAGCTGAAGAGTTTCTTTGCTTGTTTCCTGTGCTTCATTTCATTTCTAAGTGGTCCTACTGATATGAGACTGTGGGAACAGCACCCAGACCAATGTCAGTCACTGGTAAACAAAGATATCTATGTGCAGCTATTTTTCTTCTCTTTTATCGTGTGTGTTACGATATGATCTGTCATATTACGTTTAAATTCAAACAATATCTTTTTTAAGATTTTCCTGCTATGTTGAATGTACTAAGCTTTTTAAAAATTTAGCTTAACAACATACTTCTCTAATTGCCTAGACTTATAAGAAGAAAAATATCTCTGATAGTTTCTTAGAAGCCTCAGGTGGGCCCAGGGTGGCAGTGGAGAATTATGTTTATTAAGAACTGTATTTGACTCACCTCTTATTATTTGATTCATGCAGTAGTCCTGTGTCACTTGTTCTATAAAGATGTGTTGAATATAGCCCTGAATGTGTTTATGTAGCCCTGAAGTTGCCCTTGCCGTGTTTCCCTTTAATCAGAAATACGTAAGATTGGTATTTCTTAGAAGAAATAGGTCATATTTGTGGTATTTGACTATCATGGGGGGGTGATTTTTTTTGTCTTTTTTTTTTTTTTTTGCCCCCACCCACTCTGCCCGGCGGGGGGTGATTATACAGTGATAGAACAAACAGAACTTGTAATAGGCATTTGAATTCTATTATTGAACTTTATAGTTTCTAGAGTCACTGTTTGACTATTTTCTTTAAAAATGAATTTCTTAAAGCATCTGCTTCCTAAGAATACTGGGAAAATTCTATTTTGAATGTGTCACTAACAGTCCTTATTTTAACATTTGTGTATATGAGGCTTTGTAAATCACATTTCCCAAATACTTTTGCTACCTTTCCTCTAAGTTAACTGAAAGAGGGTGGTTTGAACAGATTTAACAGCAGTGGTGGTAACTGAATTAGTCGTTCCCTCTGTCCCATATCTGAAGGTGAGTAAAGAAAACAATAGTAGCTGTGAAACTAAGCACTGCAGTATGTTTTTCTTTCATGATAACTCAGTGTAGAACACTGTGTGTGAGTGATTTGCAGGTTTAAAACCATTCTCATTGTCATTCTCTTTTAAGTTAGTCATTAGCCAGGAAAATGAATATCTCCTTCCTTGTTTTATTCCTCAGAATTTTTACCTATTAAGTATCCTTACCAATAGCCACATAAAATTCTGTGTCCTGTACTAAAGCGTTAGATTCCTTTTTTATAAAAGATGGAAAAGGAAAATGAAAGGATCCTAATATGGCCGTGGATTCCCAGATGTACACTTTCTATACCAAAACTGAATAAACCACATTAGCAAAAGAGTTTGGATAAGTGCTTAAAAATAGGGGTATGTTTTTTCTTGTCACTGTAGTACATAGAGTACTCCAGGTCTACCTAGAGGTTTCTGAGTTTATTAAGAAAATGTTTATACGCTCTATAGTGTATAATTCACAAGTCAGTTGAGGAACAAAATATAAAGCAAATTGCAAGTTACAAAAACATTAGTATTGGTACTTTAGTACAACCATGTTTGTCCAAACTCCTCAGGGGAGCCCCTTGAACCATGTTTTAGATAATGAGAAAACTGCCCCAGCTGCTGAAGAGAGAATAAAACAAAGATTGTTCTCCAGTCCTCCAGGAGAAAAGAGAAGGCCCACCGCAGGGAGTGCCCTACAAGGGCAGTCTTAAGTGTTCAGGGGAGCAGATAAAGCTTATGTGACAGAGTTCATAAAGGACTTACAACCAAACCTGTGGTATGTCAGAAGAAAGAGAGAACAACTTTCGGAAAGTAGGGGAGGTATTATAGCAGTCTTCTTTGAAAAAAGTTGACATGCACTGGGATGCTGGTTGGTTGGTTGGTCAGTCAGTCAGTCTATTTGTTTTAGAGACACAGTCTCCTTATATATTCCAGGCTGGCCTTGAATATATAAGGAGACACAGTCTCCTTATATATTGAGACATAGTCTCCTTATATATTGAGTAGGTTGGCCTTGAATTCTAGATCCTACTGCCTCAGCCTCATGAGTGCTAGGATTATAGGCATGCACCACCACTCCAGCTTGGGTAATATTTTTTATAAGGAGAGATTAAGACAAGAAAACATTCCAACAGTTAATGCTCCTTAAACGAGAACATGGAAGTAAAAAAGACAGTATTATCTTCACATAGGTGTTTGAGAATTGTGTACCACTCTTCATATGCCTCATGTGGTGACATCACGTCCACCTACGCTCCCCTAACTACAAAAATTTACTCAGAATTTACCATAGACCTAACTGTAAGAGCTGGCTCAAAACAATATGAGTACATTTTAGAAGAAAATATGAGTAAATTTTTATGAGTTTCGGTTAAGCAAAGACTGCTTAGGTAACATCAAAAGCAGAAAGGGACCAAAAAAAAAAAAGAGATAAATTGGACTTTATCAAAATTTAAAACTTTTGTTTCAAAGGACACAATTAAGAGAGTAAAAAGACAACCACAGAATGGGAGAAGATATTTGCAAGTCATATATCTGAGAAGGTGCTAGTATCTAAAATACGTGAAAAGCCCATACAATGGATGATAAAAATAGATAGTGCAATTTTATAATGAGAAAATATCATTATCTTGTAGCCTGATTCTATAGTTGAGGAAGTAGGTGAAAGCCTTGGGCAGGTTTTGCTTCTCTGAGTCTTAGTTTTCCCTCATTTGTAAAATGGTAGTAAGAGTAGAATCTCACCACCCAGGGTAGTTTTTAGGACAAAAGAGACGAGATAGGATCATTGGCAGCTACAAGTACTTGACAAGGCTCTTACACTTGTGTTGTGCTGAGTAGCTGCGAGAGAGACATACTGGCACTGCAGGTGTTAGTTCAGAGCATGGAGTTGTTTGCCCCATACTGACAGGAAGAGCTTCCTACAGGAGAAGTGTGACATCAGATGCAGAAGTAGAGGTAACAGCAGCCACCATTCACTGACAGCAGATGAGCAGAAGGGTCAGGAGGAGCTCCTAATCTGTGTGGGGACATCAGAGTAGTTATTTGACACCAAAATGGGACTCTACATCCCAGGGTGCTCCTGGCCTTGAAATTATAAGGGCTCAGTGCATCCTGGTGCCCCCAAAATAAGCCAAACCTCAGTGACCACCAAGAACAAAGGAACAGGTCATATTGGTAAGCTTCTAGTCAATAGCTACCTTTACTGAATGACAAGTGTGTGCCAGGTACCCCACTAGGCTTTGAGTGAGGCAAACTGACTGAATCCTCATCCACACCCATTTCCTCCCCCTGATTAGACAGCAAAGCAACATTTTCCAATTCCCTTCATTTGGAAGGGGACTATAAGACTAGCTGTAGTTAGGGTAGTATAGGTAGAATTGATGTCACCACTGTTCCATCTCTCACACTTTTCCCTCATCATCGCTAGCTATAGATGCAGGATACCCAGTAAGAGATTTTAAGGTCTCAAAGGATGGCATTTCTGGATCCCTGAATTATTTCATGCTAGGCCAACTGAGTACTTTGTTGCACTGTAATTCAAATAAGTAATAAAATTTTTGTTGTGTTTTTTAAATGGGAAAAGGTCTCAATGGACATTTCTCCAAAGAAATGTCTTATTAATAATAAAAATAACCAATAAGCACATCAAAAAATTCTGAACATCATTAGTCTTTAGGGAAATGCAAATCAAAATCACAGTGAGAAGGGGTTGGCAGAGTGGCTCAAGTGGTAGAATGCCTGCCCAGGAAACTTGAAGCCCAGAATTCAGCCACTCTCAAGAAAAACAAAGTGAGATACCACTTCACATCTACTGGGATGGCTAGAATCAAAAAAACAACTAATAAGTGTTGACAAAAATGTAGAGAAATTAGAAATTTCATATACTGCTTGTGGGATGTAAAACGGTACAGACACTTTGGAAAACAATTCGCAGTTCCTCAAAAGATTAAGTAGAATTACCATATGGCCCAGAAATTATT